CTCTTGCAAACGAGAGAGCAGGCGTCGTGGCTGGGCTTGGAGTCCAGCTTGTGGAAGACCTCGAGGATCAACTCGTCCGGTAGGACTGGATTTATCCGATCACGACCTCTCATTTTCATACATAGATAGATAGATAGTGATATGTATATGTATATGTATATGGATGAGAATGATGATATACAGAGCGTGGGGGTGAGGATTGAGGGAGATGAGGGAAGTTCTCGGAGAATAAATTAAAAGGAAGAGAGAGATCAGTGCATGTGTGTGTATGCCGAGAGGGAGAGAGAGGGTTGAATTGGGTGAGATCCGGCGGGCGGTCAAGGCAAGGTCGCCGCCCGCCCGCCGGAAGGCGAAGAACACCAAGATCTTTAACCTTGCTCTGATACCATGTTAAAATCAATTGATGTATATTATTGATTGTTTTTTGTGTATTATGTATATTACAAGGATTCCTATTATATAGGAGAGGATTTGGGAGTAGGTGAGGAGTTGGTGTAGGTGGTAGTAGAGGTGGTAGGTGGAGTGGGTGGTAGTAGAGGTGGTAGGTGGAGTGAGTGGTAGTGGTAATTTACATTTACACAATTTACATTAACAATAAGAAGAGAGAGAGAGAGAGAGAGAGAGAGATATATATGAGCGAGAAGAAAAAAATGGAAAGGGCTAAAAATTGAGGGATAGGGTTTTGAACAGTCTGATGATAATATGAAGACTAAGTTCCAAAAAATTGAATGATGAAACACAAATATGAGTAATGATTTTTTTATTTTTTATTTTGATTGAACATAGAGGTGTATTATTTGAAATCAACAGATAGAGAGATAAAAAGGATTTGGATGTGTTCTTTGAAGCTAACAGATAAAGATAGTGGATTTCAATTTGTATAGATAAAATTGGCTTGAATATATATATATATATATAGAGATTTGAGCTCATTCAAGGCTCAGATTAATTTGGAAAGTTGTCTTAATCATTATCATCTCTTTCTGATCTTTTCCAATAGAGTTTGAGTTGGGGTTTTTATTTTATTGTTAAGATTTGAACTAAGATCTCTGTTCAAGGCTCAGATTTGGAAAGTCTTATTCACGATGATGATAAAGAAGGCTTTCCAAAATTTTGAACAGATAGATATGCATATATGAATGAATGTATATAATTTGCACAAATAAGAAAGAGACAGATAGGTATGTATAAATATATATATATATATATATATATATGTAATTTGTACAGATAATAAATGGACAAATAAGAAAAATTGACTTGGTCAATTTCAACAAATAGGAAAACCTAAGATAAGAATTTCACACAGATAAAAATTCAACAGCTAGAATAAAAAATATCAATAGATAGGATAAAAAAATTTAATAAATAGAATAAACATTTTAACATATAGATATAAATTTGAACAGATAGTCAAAAAAAGTCAATAGATAAAAAAAGTCAACAGATAAATTAAGGAGTAAAATTGAAAATAAAATATTCTCCAAAACAAATAAAAATACTTCTTACAAAATTATTTCACAAAGAGTGGACTTCTCACTAATAAAAAATATCCATTGAATATAATACTTTATACCATTTTTAGATTAGATTTATCACTAATTTTTTCTAAGAATTTAATATTAAATCTTTATTATTTATTTTTTTACGGATATTAATAGCACTCATAGTTATGGTATGATTTATGTTTATATTTTAATATTTTTCAATACCATTAAATCCCCTAAACAACAAATGTCATATATGTGTTAGAAGGCAAGTCATGATATATGTGTCGATCTCACAAATGTCATAATTAAGGGGTGACTGAAAAATTTATTTTTAATAATTTTTTAATTTTTTTTTTTATAAAAGACGTATAAAAAACTAGAAAGAAAAAAATAAATAAATAAATCATTGAGTTGGCATTTTATTGAGTAGCCAAATAAGGCCTAAATCACTTTTTAAGTCATGAGAGATTCTAATATACATTCTTTTTAAAAGGGAATACCATGTGCATCTTTAATTATGTTATTTTCTTCTTTAATTATAAATATATATATATATATATTTTGGAAAATTTAGCTATAAATCCCCTTTACCTTCTTTTCATTGTTAAAAGGACTAAGAAAAAAATTATATTTTCTAAACCCCCTCATAATTATAAAATTTTGCATAAAGGACAAAAATTATTATTTAAATATTTTATTAGACTATTATACCCTCAACTAAATTTCCTCACCTTCTCCACTCTTTTTCCTTCTCTCTTCCATCCCTAGGGTTTGGATTGGATTCGTTCGAAGCTCTCGTGATTTCAACCAAAACTGTGAATATACCTAAATCACTCTCAGTTGCAGAGAATTTTCTTTGAATGGCGCATAGGTTTCGCAGTGGAAGAGATCGTCAGAGATGATCAGAGAAAACTTCGACGATGTCGACGTATCGCCTTCCAATTCTCATGAAGTTCATGTTCTTGTCGTTGATGATAGCCTCGTCGATCAAAAATTCAAATTGTGAAAGAGTATAGAGACGAATTGCGCGACTGTTCAAAATTTTCATATTTGAACACAGTTCTTCAGATTTTTCATATATATATATATATGTGTGTGTGTGTGTGTGTTTGTGTGTGTGTTTGTGTGTGTGTGTGTGTGTGAGGGAGAGATTTTTCATTTGGATGGTGTTGTTAAGTTCTTAAATTGATCTATTGATGAGTTGTTACTATATTCTCTCAACTTTTTGTTGTAAAATTATTTTTGATTTTGATAAATTTTTGTGTCGTGAGTGAGCAATATGGATTGTGTATATGTAATAGATAACAAAGAAGCCAAAGAGGTGATACGAAAGAGGCAAGTAACTGTGAAGAAACAGAAGAACAGTGGCTATGAATGATCTAATTTCATTTGATAGAACCAGAGTAAAATTTTACTCTGGTTCTATTGCTCTGTTTTTTTCATTTGACAGAATCAGAGTAAAATTTTATTTTTATATAGAGTAAAATTTTACTTTTAGCTTCTGAGTCTCACAGTTTACTTGTTTTTCAAAGTAAAATTTTACTTTTATACAGAGTAAAATTTTACTTTTAGTTTTAGAGTGTAAAATTTTACTCTGAATAAGAGTAAAATTTTACTTTTATACAGAGTAAAATTTTACTTTCATACAGAGTAAAATTTTACTCTGAAATACATAGTGAAGATGGCTTAATAGGAGAGCTGATAGATATGAGGGTAATATAGTAAAAGAAACAAGTTTTAAAATATCAGGGGGTTTTGAAAGTACTTATATAATTCTTGTCCTTTTGAAAGACAAATTAGATAGTAAGGGGGCTATCACCAAATCTCCCCCTTTTTTTTTTCTGTTATAACATTATGACTTGTATGTTCTTTAGTTATGTCTCATATTGTGTTTAGTTATAACATTTTTTTTTTCCAGTTATGACTTAAACAATTTAAATTATGCTTTTTTTTTTTTTTAATTATAAGGTGCATATAATATTTCCCTTAAGTCACAATTAGACACCACTTAAGGCATAACAAAATACCTCTTCAATTGTAACTAAAATAATAACCACAATAGACAATAATTAACAACAAACTGAGTCGTAATCAAATAATGAGAAATGTCATTCTCTCTATTTCTTTTCTATTCTCACCAGCACATCACAATAAGTCATAATCAAGTCAACTAAAACCTCATTTGGGAACACGCTATGAAGAAAAAAAATGTTTGATGACTTTTTAGTTTTTTATAAAAAGATGTACAAAAAGTAAAGAAAAAATAAGATATTTTTTGTATAGTTTGTTAATTTTTTTGACTTTTTTTCATGATTTTTTGACTTTTAAACTATAAAAAAAAAAGTCCCCAAACAAGGCCTAAGGATTATAACCAAACATCACTTCAATCATAATTAAAATAAAAAAACACAAAAAATCATAACTAAGTCATAATTAAATATCACAAAATCAAGATTGGACATAGAATTTCCTAATGTTTTTCAATACTGAGATCTGAGATCATGATGTTTTTTCATGGATGTGTGTATATATAAGAATAACGCACGTTGCCACCACAACTGAATTACCAGATTAAATCATTCACAACATCGCACAGTCACTATTCTAATAGTGTTAATTATTTGTTGTGTTAAAAGTTGTCTCATTCCAAGTTTTATATAATACGGGTACTTTCAAATCAAGATATTAACCAATGAGAGTTCAACTTGACCCATTGACTTTCAGTGGATCACATTCTATTTAAGTAAGAGCATCTTCAACAGTAGTAGGCATTTTACCTATCTAAATATTACTATAAAGTATATATTTTATTTTACCTATCAACTGTTTTATATTTTTACTCCAACTATGCTCTTTATTTTAGCTATTTAGCCAAATACTATTAATTTTATAGAATGCCACGTCAACAACAAAGATGGAGGGAAATGATCCTAATGATTGAATACATTTTGCCTAGCATTGAAGGCTAGCTACATGTAGCTAGTGAATATGAGTTGAGGCAAAATGCCTAATCATATGCCTAGTGCATTGGAATTGAAAAAAGTGAATCACACTAGGCATTTTAACTAACAAGTATTATATGCCTAGTGCATTGGAGATGCTCTAACACACACCATAATTGTTATTGTTATTATTATTAATAGTAAGAGCATCTTCAACAGTAGTAGATATTTTACCTATCTAAATATTACTATAAAGTATATATTTTATTTTGCCTATCAACTGTTTTATGTTTTTACTCCAACTATGCTCTTTATTTTAGTTATTTATCCAAATACTATTAATTTTATAGAATACCACATCAACAACAAAGATTGAGGAAAATGATCCTAATGATTGAATACATTTTGCCTAACGCTGAAGGCTAACTACATGTAGCCAGTGAATATGAGTTGAGCCAAAATACCTAATCATATGCCTAGTGCATTGGAATTGAAAAAAGTGAATCACACTAGGCATTTTAACTAACAAGTATTATATGCCTAGTGCATTGGAGATGCTCTAACATTATAACCCAATAAGGCTATATTTTTATATTAAATTTACAAATGCCACAACATACCTCTTGTTATATTATAGTCATTCCTCAAGTAAAATTTCAATTTCATTTTACATAAAATTTCTATAGATTACAAATACCAACCCCAAAACTAGCAAAACCTTTAAGCCAATGCACATCACAGTTCACAGAAGAGCTCATATCTAGGAGGCATGTATAAGATAGAATCTAGCTTCTTTTGCTCTTGATGGTTGGTTGGAGCACTCTCAAAATCACCCTTATACTAAGCCTTTTCTATAACTGAACATATGGAAGAAAATAAGGAAGAACACATCTTAAAATAGTGGTCGGCTATTCACATTTGATAGAGCTGTATATGTGACGAACAAAGAGTAATGAAGCACGGAAACCAATGGTACCAAGCATAAGAAAAATGCCGTAGCAAACACAAGCCATGTAACCGAAGAAAAATGATGTTTGCAGCAATCCAGACATATTTGACCGTGCATGGTAATAGTACAAGCAATAGCCATAGATAAACAAGCCTGTTGATCCACCGCAAAGAAAAGACCTGTATTGAATCACGCTTTCAGATCAGTCCACAAAAATTTACACATCGGAACTTTCAGTGATAGAGCATCTTAATATAAGGGAACTTTGGTGAACTCATATTCTGATGACAAATCAGCACCATATGATTCAGTGAGAAACTAGTTAGAAAATAGTATCATGACAAAAATAGCTACATATTTAATCACATTATAGGTAGTTTCCATAACGAGTTATTATAAGCTACAGAAGGTGTATGATATCAACTATGAAAATAATCAAGAATGCACAAGTCGCAGAATTTAAGTTGCCAAAGATGTTAAAGAGGGATAGATGGCAACACAAGAGAACGATGCTAAGTCATCCAAGATGGCTTGAGAAAATTATATAGAATGAAGAACAACGACCATAACAATAAGGAAGTGAGATGTGATTAAATTTCAAACGGATCAAGGAGGTGAGAACAAACATTATGTCTTGTGATTTAACTTACATGTCCCAGATTAGGCTGAGCAAAGATTATAACTTCTGTCAGGAATTTTAAATACAACTCCAAACTAGAGCCCAAAAATGCTCTCCGTCAAACCTAACATGCAGGCAGTCTAAAACATCACTCCATTTTTCCATATTTTCCAAGTGAAGAGAAGTAGTTGGCTTCAAATGATTTACTAACATTGAAGATAGACTGAGAAAATGCATGGTTTCAAAGAGCAAACTGAAGTTAAAAAGCCAACCATGCCAAGACCAAATAAGAAACTAATTATTCAAAATGAGCTAGCTTTGGCTGTACCAAGAAAAAAAGCTAGCTTTTGGCACAAAGAAAAAGCAAAACAAATGTCTTTTTCCAACCAATCCAAGCTTGCATAGAGAATTTCATTGAGTTTGGGCTTTGAAGGGTACAAGATGGTAATCTTTAGAAGAAAACGGAAGATGACCCTCTTTCACTGTGCAAATTTTGTCCTCGATTGATGTATCACTTCGCAAAGTTCCATCATGATCTGATTTTGTTTACTTGGTTCTTAAGCTAATTTTCTACACTACTAAGATCTTTATTTATCACCAAACTCATTATTATGATATGCTATAATGAGATCAGGCTAGAACTCTTGTTGGCACTTTGTGACTTCACGTGCGTTTGAAATTTCCCCAAGTAAGGATGAATTGTGATTAGGGTTGGAAAAATAACAGATTATGTGAAAATTAGGGTTAGAATGAGAAAGAGAGAAGAAAAGAGAATAGACAAAAGAATAGAGACTAGGGTTGCATAACCTAGCCCCCTTCATGTAACATATATTTATAGGGTAATTATATTTACACACCATCATTATTCTCAGTACACACCGTTGTCCAATTTTTTTTAATTACCATTGTGTCCTTGAATGAAATTACCATTTTGAACAAAATCCCTAAAATCAAATCCCTCAATACACACCATCACACCCCTCTAGGCACCACCATCAACAACTAGCCACCGCCACCACCTTGTCCAGCCCCGTCATCGCCCCACCTCTTCTTTCATCCTTCCTTGCTCTACCACTACCGCCGTCGCTGCTACCGCCGTCATCTCCAGCGAGCCCATACCCAACCCATCCTCATCAGCACCACTAGTCCCCGCCACACACATAGTCTCTCTCTCTCTCTCTCTACCACCATGGCGATCTCTATCGACTATCTATCATCGTGGTCGAAGTTGTTGGCAACGGAGATGATGGCATTGGAGGTGGCAGGGTGGGTGAGAAGAGCAATGGGAGTGGTTTTTGAGGGTGGATGAAGGCGGATAAAGATGAAAGATGAGTGGACGATGGGCTGGAGATGGACAACCGGCAGTAGATGGCGGTAGTGGTGACTACGTTGGGTTAGGGTTACGCATTTTGAGAGGAAGAGGGTATTTTGGGATTATTTGAACATAGGTGGTGTGATTTGAGAAAAATAAAAAATTTGAAATTTGGTATTGTGTAAACTTAGAAGATGGTGTGTACTAAGAGTATTGATAGTGTGGAAATAAAATTTCCCATATTTATATTAGAGTGAGAACTACAAGATGACCATAATACCTGTTAGAATTTACCATCACCTACCACCACTACCACCTCGCCTACTCCACTATCACCTACTCCACTATCACCTACCACCACTACCACCTCACCTACTCCACTAAACCTAACCCACTACACCACTACCACCATCCACTACACACCATCCACTACACCTACATCTATATAAGGAACCATTTGTAATAGACAGAGAACTACAAGATGACCATAATACCCTTACCAATAAAACAGAGAAATATAACAGAGACAAACTCTACTCTTAACAGTTTATATACCTAAACATAACTCAATGGTATGTCTCCAGAGTTTTTCATCTTAAAGCATTTTCCATGATATTACCACCCCCAATGTCTGCCCCTAAAAATGGCTTCTATGGAATGTTATATTGATGCAAACATTTCTTTGGTTGCAGATTTTGTTGACATATATGATTGGATACTAAGAAGCCAAGGACTCTTTTATTGCAATAAAGCCACAAATCAATGTTGCAAATGAACAAGTCGAGCATGATAGCTGTTAGAATTTCCCATCTTTACCTTCACCTACTCCACTACACACTTCACTTCACCTACCTCCACTTCACCACACACTCCACTTCACCTAACCCACTATCACCTCCACTACACCTACTACCACATTTTCTTCTATATATAGATTGTATAGGAATTGTAATTAATCAATCTTGTAACAAACATCAATCAATCAATAATACATAAATTTTTTACAAGAAAGCATATATTAAAGCAGATGGACACTTCATAAAAGAGAAATCAAGCTAATATATTATTTGTACATAATGCGAAGTCAAATAGCAGAAGTATAGACCAAAGAAGTTTCTAGCAGCAACTTTCAATGTATTTTAACCAAGAAGGCAATGCACGACATCCTAGCGTTAGCTAGCATGAAGGCCATCAAGCATGGATACACCAAAAATTTTGTTGAATGGGTATTGGGTACTTACCCAACAAGGCATGCATACCGTTACGGCTGCATGCATACCAGATATGTGAAATATGTATCTAGTACTTTTTAATGTTGGCCATGGCTCGAGCACAGGATGGGTACAACTCGGGTATGGGATGAGTATGTTTTGAATACATGATGGGTAAGTTTTGGGTACTTTTGTAGGTAGATTAGGACATAAATGTAAATTTAAAAAAAATATAGGGAATTGCACTGTGCCTATTTTTAAATTTTTTTTTTAAATGCAGTGTATTTTTTCAGTTATCAAAAATTTCAAAAATACTAGGGTTCTTTTTTTGGCTTCCAAGTTTTTCTGACTCTCTGTCTCTTCATATTCTTCTCTATTTTTTTTCAACAACCCTCTCTGTCTTGGAGTACCCCCCTTCATCTCTATTTCTGTAGCCTCTCTGTCTATTATTCTCTCTTTTTCTAATTGTCACTTACAATATTTTTTGCATTTGATTTTCTAATTATTATAAATTATGAAAAACTATTTTTGGCATACCCATTACGTAGCCATACCCGCATTCGTAGCACACCCGTGCTTCCTACAGTGAAGGCAAGTATTGTAAGAGATAATTTTATAACTTTATGTGGTGATTGAGATTATTAGTTTTATTCATGGAGCAACTGAGAAACAGGAATGCAGAAGAGAGAGAGAAAAAACATTGTAAATAAAGCAAAACCATGTGGAAAATTAAAATATTATGTAGGAGCAACACAAAATGAAGAAATAAGACTAAAACATTGGCAAGAAGACTGTATACCTCCACCACCATTCATGATCTTCGGCAGCAAGCTGAAAGTATGTCAAAGCCACATTCACAAAAGCAGTTACTATGACAAGAATTATGAAAACAATAAACAGGATGGCATATATGGTGTAAGCCCGGAGACCCCATACGCTAACAAACAAATAGTAGAGCTCAACGTAGATAACACCAAAAGGCAATATGCCCGCCACTGCCATCTGGGGAAGAATACCCCTGTACCAACGCTGTGGAGGAATCACTTTAGGACACTTGGTGGTGTGGCAAGGAGCTTGGAACTCAGACTTACTATTTTTTGCAGTGATTCCACCCAAAAAAAGCAATGGTGATGCTACAAGCATCCATATCGAGAACAATACCAAAATCGTTCCTAGTGGCAGCGCTGCAGTTGCTCTGTATGTGATGGCAACAGTATTAAGGAAGCAAAATGTAAGGAGTAGAGGCCCACAAAAAAGGTATCCTGTCAACAATAAATTCCTCACCTGTCAATTCAAAAAAAATTGAATAGTCTAATTAGTCCACAGGGTTTGCTTTTGTATATAAGCACCAAATTCGGAGAAAAAAAAAAAATACACACACACACACAAATGCAAACCCCCTATAGCACACACCCAATTGGTCCCTTCAAGTTGGAAATATAAAGAAACTGCTGTATATCCTGCAATCCCAGATGTAATTGCATACACAACCACCAATGCAGTCAGTAAAGTTCCTCGGCAATATGGATAAAATACTCCAACTAGTCCTAGCATTATAATGGACACCGTACTGCATGGAATGATAGAAGTGCAAACAATATATCAGATGATTTGCGGCAGGCCAAAGAGGCCACACACACACGCGCGCGCACACAAAAAAAAAAAAAAAAAAAAAAAAAAAAAGTCATAATAATAGACTAACAGAATGAACAACTGGGTGCCAGAACCAACAACTGCAGCAAACAACGACTGGTGCTTTGGATACCGAAAAACATCACCATGGATGTTTTTCCACCCTGTTTCCTCTTGATTATCAAGCAATTCCTTGTCATTTGCATACCTTTCAAGAAATTATATAGAAACAAATAAAATTTTTAGGTAAAAGAAAATTACATATAAACACAACGTATATTTGGCATACATTTAAATATTTGGCTTACTTATTGATATCCTTCTTGATGACTCGCACATAAAACATCACCAAACAGCCAAGTAGGATGAGAACTGTCAAACACGAGTTCATCACGGCAAACCAGTGTATTCTCAATTGATGCGGTGTAGGAGATGAATAGTATTTCTCAATCCTCTTCTCAAATGGAATGTTTGTTTCCCTCCATTTCACAGTGTACGTGAACTCCACATCGACTTCCTTATCTTCGGTCAGGTCTATCACGAAACTTTGGTCTATTCGAGCAGTGATCTCAATCACATGTTCCTTATTATAAAGAAATTCAAATACCATGTGTGTGAAAAGGAGGTACTTGTAGTCATTTTTTTCAGCTAAATAAGGCCGGTCAACTTGTCCAATGAAAGCCCAAACTGGCATGTCATCAAAGTACATTTGAATGTAGTAGTCTTGTGCAAGTGCAGTTCGGAACTGAGAAACTTCTTCCTTTTTCAGCTTCTTTTTACATGCAAGTTCAGCATCCTTCTCTACTAGAAAGTCAATTTTATATGGAGCAGAAGCAAGCCGATCTCCATTCAACACCTCACCTAAAGATTCTTTCTTCTCTTTCACATGTTCTGTCAATGAATTCGGCCAATAATAACAAAAATAGAAATGGTTAAAGGGGAACCTATCAAGAGCAACAATTAAAACTACATAAAAAAAGATGAAGATGAAAACCTGGTAAACAGAAGGGAAGATCATAATAAGAATATGTTTCACTGGAATCAAAGAAAAATACAATGAAAACAGAATTAGCAACCTGAAGTAAGGTATACAATCTATATATGAACAAAAAAGTTGTATTGTAACAGCCAAGGACCTTTGGCCATCAAATACACTTGCCCAATAGAAAAAATAAGCAAAGCTGTTCCTCTATTGAAACTTTTCCACATCTCACAATGTACCGGTGTACAATTTTCATGCATCCATAAGTACAAATTAGTGCAATTTTAACAAAGTGAAGCATGCACTTTCAAAAGAACAACAAAACATAAGAGGAATTGCACCATTTTGCAAACATACATATTCAAACATGACAATATTTAACAGTTGAACAAAAAACTCTAATAACCAGATGATTACAAATACTAATTCCAAGAAAGCAAATAAATAAAAGTTTGAAGCAACAATAACCCTAGAAATCCCGTATAGAGATCATCCAAATCTAGGAGGCAAAAACAATTTGAACCAAAAACATAGATTGTTGTACACAAGCGACTTAAAAAAAAGTGGTTTAAGATCCATAGAGGCAAAGGTTGAGACATTTTACCTAGGATTGTGATATGGTCCAACCTTGTTGGAATAACAAGGAACTGGATCTCCAGCTTTGTACCGATGATTTGACGCCTCTGATCTCACTTGACTTGCACAACATATTACAAGAAAAGCAACAAGAAGAATGGTTGAGGATTCTTCCATCCTCCTAAGCATTTAACAAGAATGACAAAGTTAAATGAAATGAAATGATGGGAGATATAGAAAGGAAACAATTAGAAGAGTGGAGAAACATTGACTTCATAATTCTAGTTCTAGCAAGAATTGCAAAGGTATATATTTTTTTATGTGTGCACATGAGCTTAGAATGTGTTTGGATCATGGGTTTGGGTAGAGATTTGAAAAGGGAAAAGGAAAAGGAAAAGGAAAAGGAAAAGGTGGGTGAAATATGAATGAAATATAGCTACATTTCACCCACCTTTTTCTTATTCCTCTCCAAATTCATACCCAAATCCACGATCCAAACACAGCCTTAAGGATATAGAGTTTCTAGTTCAAGACATGAATTGTTAAATATTCATATCTTCCTATCTTCTTCTTGGGAGGTTGAATGTTGGTTACCAAATAAGTGGAGATAGTAGTGGTGCAGGATAGGCAAATAAGTAGAGGACGGGGCGTTGGTTATGTATTGATAGTGCTATCTCATATTCCCACTCATGAAAAACTGGACAAACATTCACCTTCCCACACTTCTGCAACGCCCTTATGTCCATTGTTTGATAGCCTTAGGTTTCATCCTCTAATCCAACAACCTAAGCATTCATTTCAGTGGCTAATACCACAGTACTTGTTCCAATTTCTAGTGTGCAGTTACCGTCAAATCTATTGAATGATAAGGAAATTAGGCAAATAGTTCTTGATTAAACTTGCGTTGACAAGGTCATAAATGTTGATATAGTTAGTTTGCATACATCACTCGGTAAGAAAAATTAATTTCAATGGTTCAGATATACTAGAAGTGAATAGAAATGAATAATGCCTTTTTCTCAAACAATCCTATGGGCGCCTAAGCCTAGGTTTTTATTTTGGAAAGAATAAATAAACATTACATCAAAAGATATCATCACATAACTACGATGAAACAACCCGACCATGCCTCACTAAGGGCACAATGCAAGTAGCAGTGCACACATGATTTTCAACATCAAGTTAATCTACAAAACTACCCATTACTACTATATCTAGCATACTATTTGCAAATATCATCTAAGCACTCAAGCCTCCAAGAAAAACCAAAAAATAAATAATTGTTAAGGTCCTTGGGTTAGGGTATGAGAGAGAGTATCTACTTGCTACTTGACTTCTTTCTAATAATGCAACAAAATTGACCAAATTTAAACAAAATTTTCCAATTATTTGTTCCAAATCTTGACCAAATTTTAAAAATTTAAGACAAACCAATTTTATGAATAGCGACGTAATCAGCCGAATGTTTTACACTTCAATTTACCCACCGATGTCGGGACAACCAATCCTAATCCACCCTTTAAGTTCTAACAACAACAATAAGGAAACCACGAAATTCAAAACCATGATGGCTATGATTAGTAAATTAATTAACTTATAGAATCTCTGATCCTTACTCTCTCTCTCTCTCTCTGTTCATTAAATTTGAGTGAAAATTTGATTAAAAGCTTGATCTGATATGAAATACTCCAATCCTTACTCTCTTCATCTCTTCAAATCTTTTCAAAAAATTCCATGGTTACCCTAAAAATCTATTTTAACCATGAAAGAAAACCATCTCCTATCCATACTCTATTTTAAAATTTTATAAAAAAAAGATTAAAAGTATTATTATTGGAAATTTTGTGAAATTTTTTGTTCATCCTTGATTTAGTGAAAATTTTGTGTCTCCCTTGATTTGATACAAGTTTGATGACATGATTGGAGCTCCATTTTAGCTCTTTATTGATCAAATTCAATTGGTGAATTCATCACCAATGCAAATTAATTCATGAAGTTCACAAGAAAAAACATAACCTCAAGAACCCCCAAAAAGAGTAAAGCCTAAAAGAAAAACCCATAAAAAAGGAATCAAGGTAACAATTGCTAGAGAATATTGACATGTAAAAAATTGTTCAGAGTGGAAGAACACTACACAGGAACTACAACAGCTACCACAAACAAAGCAGTAGTAACAAACACAAACCAGTTTGGTAGAGAGAGAGAGAGAGAACCTGTTGACTAGTCTTTTCTAGGAGAGCAAGTGATAGAAGTGGGATTGAGAGAAATTGGGCAATCCAATTATGTCATTCCTTCGTACCTGTTGAGAGAGAGAGAAAGAGAGAGAGAGACGAATAACCAGGAAAGAATGGAACAAGAAAATGGATAAGATGTAGAAGAGAGGGAGACTGCAACACTGGTCAACGGTCGCCAACGCCTCTCCTGCACGGCGTACCAAAAATGTAGACAAATAAATAAAAATTAAACATAAACTGAAATATTTTCAGAAGAGAATGTTTAAGACACACCAAGAACACTCACATAATTAATTTTTAATTTATTAAAAATTTATTATATATCTAATAATATAAAGCATAACTCTATTTGTGGCATTGCTTTTTGGGAACATAGATAATTTACAGGTATATTTATCAATAAATTTCATTTCATAAATAAGTCCTTTAATTAGTTTTAAATTTTTTTTTATTGATATGTTAAGTTCTATTGATGGAAAGTTTCTCTCTTTATGGTCTTATTTTTAATTTTGGTAGCGTTTTGGTAGATAGATATACTTTTTTATTAATGTGACAGGTATGTTGTGATACTCTAATGTGGTAGACATTAATATGAAAAATGTACTTTTTTTAAATGTGACGATGTGGTAGTGTGACGGGTATAATGTGACACTCTAAAATTTTTACTTCAAAAAAATAATAATTCCTTAGTGTACTTTTCAAAGGTGACAACGTAACAAGTATGATGTGACACTTAAAAACAGGTATATTTATCAATAAATTTTATTTCATAAATAAGTCCTTTAATTAGTTTTAAATTTTTTTTTTATTGATATGTTAAGTTCTATTGATGGAAAGTTTCACTCTTTATGGTCTTATTTTTAATTTTGGTAGCGTTTTGGTAGATAGATATACTTTTTTATTAATGTGACAGGTATGTTGTGATACTCTAATGTGGTAGACATTAATATGAAAAATGTACTTTTTTTAAATGTGACGATGTGGTAGTGTGACGGGTATAATGTGACACTCTAAAATTTTTACTTCAAAAAAATAATAATTCCTTAGTGTACTTTTCAAAGGTGACAACGTAACAAGTATGATGTGACACTTAAAAAAATAAAAGCTCTTTAGTGTACTTTTCTCAAACGTGACAACGTGGCAAGTATGATGTGACACTTCAAAAAAAATAAAAACTACTTAATGTATTTTTCTCAAATGTGATAACGTGATAGGTATAATGTGACACTTCAAAAAAAAATAAAAATTCCTTAGTGTATTTTTCTTAAATGTGACAATATAGTAGGTATGATGTGACATTTCAAAAAAAAATAAAAACTCATTAGTGTACTTTCCTCAAATGTGACAACGTGACGGGTATGATGTGATACTCTAAACAAAATAAAAAACTCCTTAGTGGACTTTTCCCAAACGTGACATGTGACACTCCAACGTAACAGGTATAATGTGACACTCTAAAAAAAATTAAAAATTCTTTAGTATACTTTTCTCAAATGCAATACTCTAACGTGGTGGATATGATGTGACACTACAAAATTTTTTAATGCACTTTTTTTGTAAATATGACACTCTAATATGGCAGGCAAGCTTTCATTACACATCCAAAAAGGCTAAGTAGATCACACAAAAAAATATTAGACTATATGGATTACAAGTTTTAAAATATGGGACTTATTGGTTAATTTTTCAAATTTAAATTTCATAATGTAGGGTGAATTACAAATTTCTTCATATGTAATTTTAAACATTAAAAGAAAATTTACAGAACATTTATAATAAAAGAGAGTGAAAGTAACAATCACTTTGTTTGGAATTCATTTTTAGAATTTAGTTTTTAGAATTTTTTTTTTTTTTTATTTTTACTGAATTTTTTTAATATTTTAAGCAATTGTTTTTAATTTTTAGACACATCTAACATAAATACACTTAAAAAGTATAATATTTGTGAAAAAAATATTTAAAAAATTCATTAAATTGTCAAAAATGAAAAAATATGAAAATTCAGTACATGTTTTATATTTTTGTGTATTTATTAATTTTTTAATATATTTTTTCATAAATATTTTACTATTTAGATACATCTAAGTAATGTACATATAGAAAAGTAAAAAAATTGCTTAAAATTTAAAAAATATTCATTAAAAATAAAAAAAAATTAATTCAAAAACAGAAAAACTTAATTTCTAGAAAATTAAACTTAAAAAATTGAAACTAAATACACTAAATTCTATTAAAAAATACATCAATCGGATTTGGGACTCATGCTCTAAACTACTATAACTTCACGTTATTGATAATTTAAATCATTTATGTTATAAGACATGAGCTATTATAGCTTCATTTTAAGCCTATTATGATAATTTAATTCGTTTAGTTTATAAATCATGATTAATAAATTATTCTTATAAAACAATTAGATTGATCAAATATTGACGGTGGATATTTGTTTTAAAAAAATTAAACAAAAAAAATAATTTTGAAAATAGACTTTCCAATTTATATATGTCAATACACTAACCTCCCTTGATGTTCATACAAAATACATTAATACTATATTTGGATTATAGATTTGAGTAGGAATTTGGATAACATATTTTCCTTTTCATTTTTAAATCACAACTCAAATTCATAATCCATACGGAATGTAAGCTTAATTATGTTAGATTCCCTTAAAATTTTAATTTGTATAATATTTAACTCATTATCTATTAATAATTCATTGGCATAGATTGAAAAATAATGTTATATATCCTTTTTAAAATTTGACTTCTCTCAAGTTATCATCTCAACTTTAAGAGAGTGTTTGGACTTAATAGGCCCATTTTAGAATCAATTTTGGTGATCCGAATAGTTTACTTTTTAGAACTCGTTGAGTATAATATTCATGCAAAAAATATGAATAATCGGACATCAATAACTATATATTTGAATCAAATTTGCATTATAAAAAATAGATGTCTATTTTTAAAATTATAGTTAGCGTCTATATTTATAAAAACAACTATGATTAAAACATATAGCTACAGATATGCAATTGTTTTGAGTTGTTGCATGAATATTCTACTCGATGAATCATAAAAGTGAACGATTTGTTGTGATTTAAAAATAAAAAGGAAAATATGTTATCCAAATTCTTACTCAAATCTATAATCCAAATATAGTCTTAATGTATTTTGTATGAACATCATGGGAGGTTAGTGTATTGACATATATAAATTGGAAAGTCTATTTTCAAAATGGATAAAGATTGGTAGCTCGAGGATATCCCCCCCGAATCCCCCTAAAGCCCAAAACGACGTCGTTTTGGGCTTTAGGGGGATTCGGGGGGGATATCCTCGAGCTACCAATCTTTATCCATTTTGAAAATAGACTTTCCAATTTATATATGTCAATACACTAACCTCCCATGATGTTCATACAAAATACATTAAGACTATATTTGGATTATAGATTTGAGTAAGAATTTGGATAACATATTTTCCTTTTTATTTTTAAATCACAACTCAAATTCATAATCCATACGGAATGTAAGCTTAATTTTGTTAGATTCCCTTAAATTTTTAATTTGTATAATATTTAACTCATTATCTATTAATAATTCATTGGCATAGATTGAAAAAATAATGTTATATATCCTTTTTAAAATTTGACTTCTCTCAAGTTATCATCTCAAATTTAAGAGAGTATTTGGGCTTAATAGGCCCATTTTAGAATCAATTTTGGTGATCCGAGTAGTTCACTTTTTAGAACTCGTTGAGTATAATATTCATGCAAAAAATATGAATAATCGGATATCAGTAACTATACATTTGAATCAAATTTGCATTATAAAAAATAGATGTCTATTTTTAAAATTATATTTATCATCTATATTTATAAAAACAACTATGATTAAAACATATAGCTATAGATCTGCAATTGTTTTGATTTGTTGCATGAATATTCTACTCGATGAATCATAAAAGTGAACGATTTGGATAATCGAAATCGATCTCAAAATAGGCTTAACATGCCCAAATGCTATCTCAAGTTGAAATGACAACTTAAGAAAAGCTAAATCCTCTTTTTTTATGCTGAAATATATATTTAATCATATCTATATTCTATTCTATATTCTATACTATTATAAAGTAAACACCCCTTATGGTATCTTGAAACCTTTGTTTCTTATGATGCCACGTGTCTACTTTTTTATTTGAAATAGAAAAAAATTAGATTTTTTTATTTGAAATAGAAAAAAATTAGATAAATGTGAGGAGGGGATTTGAACCTTAGACTTATGTCAAATGAATAAGACTCTTACCACTTAATTAACATACAATAGATGATAAATATTTTATTTTATTTATATTTATTTGAATTGCACACGCATCTCGTGTGACAACCGCTAGTATTATTAAAAAGAAACACCTATTTAGAGTCTTGAAACTTTTGCCATGTGGCAATTAGATAATAATAAACAAATAAAAATAATAATTCATCCACGTTTTCACATCTCAACATAAATAGAGCAATTTGAAATACAAACCACTTCCACAAATATAGCAATTTCAAATACAAACTACTTTAACTTTTTCACTTTTCATGTTCGCTAAACTATTGTGCAGCTTCAATTCAATTCCACCATCTTCACTTCTCTCGATTCACTGTGAAACATCAATTTTTCGAATACACATCTTTGATTTTTATTTTTTTTTACCTAATTTTTTTTTGTGTAATTGGAAATTTCTGTTAGGTTTGTTTGTTTAATGCTGTATTTTGATGATGGATAGTTGGAGAAGACAATCAAGATCACAGAATAAAAAATCGCCTCTAGGTATATACACTTTCTATTTTTTCTATGCTTTTGTTATTTATGTTGGATTATTAAGCTTTTGAATTTTTATATTCATTTTTTTTAATTTTATATTTAGTTTTTTTTGTTCCTGTTTCACTTTGTTAAGCTTTTGTTTGTTTTTTGTGTATAAATTTTGTTTTTAAAAAATTGATTTCTTTGTTTACTTAACTTTTTTTTATTTTCTATTTTTTTTTTAAAAAAATAAAATAAAATCAGTGCTCTTAATTTTAATTTAAATTTTTTTAAAATTTTTTTATTTATATAAATTTCTTTTATTGTAAGTGTTCTAAGAGTTTTGGATTTGTATTGCTTCTCTCTATGCAAATTTTATTTTTTCTTTTTAAATTGTGAAACAGAAAATGTGTGCAATT